CTAGAAAAAGGTACTGTTGTGTTTCATTACTATTCATGAGTTTACTTCAAAATGTATTCTCCAACTGAGTAGAGGAAAAGGACTTCCAAAAGGCCCTTGAGGGGTTTCAGAGTAAGCACAACATTAGAGTTTAGAGTCAAATAGTAACAGGAAATAATAGGTTGTAGTACCAAATAGGCCGAAAACCTGAATATGTTTAGGTAAGATGTGTCTTTAGTACAAATATAGGATTGGGACCCCGTTTAATCTCACATAGCTAGCTTAACGCTGAGAAAACATCGCTGAAAGTGTCCTTGTTAAAAAGGATAGGGTTAGGGTTATGTTGTGTTCAGGGTTAGGGCTGTGCAGAATTAGGGTACAGGCACCTTTTTAGGTCTAGTTCAGGCACTGGTTTACAATAAGTCCACCTGGCATTCCAAATACTTTGTCCTTGTCATTCTGCTTGGCTTCTACCAACTATAATACAGAACATGTGAGTGAAATTCTGTCCAAAATGGTTTCAAGTGATATGAAATCTTAATGGGGTTCCTGATTCTTCATAAGTAATTTTTTTTTGGATAAATACTCGGACTTAAATGAAGCAGCAGCACATCTGCAGGAGTAAAACATTACTGTCTGGCTTTCACTGCCGCTGTGTGAAACATATTCCACTTTTCTTTCATTGGACTTAGAGTTATGATAGCTATATTATGTCATGCTTCCCTACCTGCTTCATTATTCAAAATGAAGAGAAATCCAGTTATATAATACGAGGGCAGAAGTTCTTATGAGATTTGGAAAGCTCAGCACTAGACATCTCCACTCTGTGTTAATTGGTTTTGCTTTTGAAAGGCCATCATTTTCTTTCGGGCCCATTAACCATAATGCTCCAGAGTCCAGGATTAGTTCGCACTCAGTAAGACTGCTGTGTTGTCGTTAAATTCAATTTAACGGGGCACCCACCAGTGCTAATTACTGCTAACCCTGCTTACTGCTCTATGTTAGTTTGGTCACTGTCCCTGCAAAAGGATTTCTTTGTTGGGTCGCTTTTACTTCACCTCTTGGCCTGTTGGTTGATTTTTTTTTGTTGGGTGTTCGTCTGAGGTTTACCAAGTGACATGTTCTCAATTCTGCTGTTAACTTTTTGAATTTAAAATACCTACCACAAATTCCTCTTAATGAGTAACTATTAAAGAGTGCTTGGGCCTGCCTCATAGTTCTTGCACCAGGTTCAGCAAACCCTCACGCACACCCGCATTATAGCTGCTACAGCCATGCGGACCCGCTGCAAAGGGACCGGGCGAAATAATATCACAGTCAGCATCCTTGTTGATGATAGGCTCTACTTAAATGTAAATCATTCTGGGTTTATTTTCCTTTAGTGAAAATGACAATGGAGCACTGGTTTGTTCACAGCAGTTTTCAGTCTACTGCTTAGAGAAACTGACCTTTAATATTAACTCTCCTATCCATTTGGCCAGCCGGATATGCTTAAGAAATTTTTGCACAGGACGCAGGTAAAAGATTCATTATTCAGCCCCAGGAATGGGCAGGGGAGGGCCGTTCCAATGGCTTTTACCTAACTACCCCCCTAAAAGCCTCCCAAGAAAAATACCTGCATTACAGAGCCATGCTGTGGAGAAAGTGTATTCACTATAGAAGCACTCCCGGTACCTGAATAAAAGATGAAATATTGAACATAGACTGTGGGGTTTTAAGTTTATTATTTAGGCCAAGATGGTCTAATTGCTCTAATGCAATGGAGTTGATTTTTTTTTTCTAGCAACGTTGAGTCTGTTACTTTGTGAGGGGACCATTTTACAGCGCTACCATTATTTTCAGCGGATGGAGTAAGGTCGGTACTGTACATTCAAGGTAGACACATTAATTACTTTTTAATTTGTAGGGAGGGTTTTACAGACTCTTAAATTTTTCAGACCCGGGGCTCTTTACCTGAGGCTAAGAATGGTGGGGAGGGAAGATCTAAATCTAAATGTAGAAGTTTTTAATGTAGAGAACGATCACGCTGCCTTTATTATTGATGACTGCTGCCATCAAAACCAAATAGACCCAGAGGAACTTTTCAGAGTAAAGAGTGTGTCATCAGGTAGAATGAAGGCAAAAAAAATAATTATTACCATTTATTTTCTTTTATTTGATGTTCTAGAAATTGTATCATTGGTTTGTTAATTGTTACAAAAATAGTTCTATTGCAACAATTAACTGAGTTTACTCAGTTGCAGCCCAAATGTGTAAAATTAGACTATTTACATCTTCCAATATCTCAAATCTACAAAGAATTGTTTTCAGCCACTCAACATTTTAATACCCCATAAATAACTAATCTTAGATGGAAAACAGTACTGTACATGTTGCTATAATGTATGTAACGATGTATAGTGCGTGTGCTGTTACACTACGCAGCAGTGCTGCTGGTACTCACATGCACACTAAGCCTGCATTGCACCAATATATGATCAAAGATTTGTTACTTTAAGCTACCATAGCTAACTTAGGGACCTACTTTCTTTACTTTTTAAGTGTTAAATTATTACATGTCAAAGTCTGTTTACAGGTCTGCATATGTGAAAGAAGTTGTATGACTCCTTTTGTGGCCCATTTTTTGGCTAAGTGGATGTTATCACTATTTCGATGGTATATATGACTTCAGTGAATATACTCAAATTAAGTGATCAATGAAGGATTATCATATATGTAATGGCTAAACAGGTACATGTGATTACTATGCAAAGGTTGATTTTTAGGGTTATATATATATATATATATATAGGTTTAGGAACTCATTCCTAAATTATGGCTAAAAACCCATTTTGAGCTACCAATGACCTTTGAGTCAAAAGTCTTAGTGAAATATGTTCACAATGTTGTTATGCTGTTGTTGTTGTTGCCGTTGAATAATGGCCAGAAAAATGTTTTTCATTATGATGTCACAGCAAAGTTGACCTTTTGGGTAAATCATATCATCACCTCATTGCTGATCCCATTAAACATCTGACAAAATTTTGAAGTAATTACTGCATTGATTCTTGAGTGATGGCCAAAAACGTGGTTTGTGAGGATAGGAATTATCGCGTTCACAAGAATCGGACGGACATGAGGTCACAATGACCTTGACCCTTCACCTTTGACCAGATCTAATCAGTACATCCTTGAGTCCTTAAGAGCCAAAAAGTAATTCCCTTGAGGCATTCCTAAGATATTGCGTTCACAAGAATGGGATGGACTTATACACAGATGGACAATCCAAAAACATAATGCCACTGGCCACGGATATTGCCTGGGCGGAGGCTTAAAAATCTGGGGTTGTGGATTCAGAAATAAATGATCTTACCAGAACTCTGTACCCCGCTCCTCACCTCTGATTGAGGCTAGCAGCACGAGTCTACATTAGCTGCTACTATAACACACCTGAATCTCCAACTTAACTTTTGGCAGTGATTGCATTTTGACAACACAGAGGAATCCATGAACTTTAGTTTCAGGAAGCTTGCGCTGCTTGCCCCAATATACAATTTTGCCACAGTCACATTTTCTAATCTGTGCAATAAGTGTAAAGTTATTATCACCCACAGACAGAAGGGCTAGAATTCTAATGTATGTAATGTATAATATATAATCTCAAATACTGTAATCTCATTGGTTACAAAATACTGTTATATACTGCAAATTAGCATATACAGAAGTTGACAACAGTATTTAGTCAAGTATATGGTAACTGGTATGAACATGAGATATTTCTGCAGTTTCCCCTCTACTATTGTTAAAGCAGCAACCAGGAACTTTTATTTTTTGTTTTTTTTATTCTGATGCTGATTTTTCCATCCCCTCGTTTTATTGATTCCAAGAGAAATCCGACGAAATTAAGATTAACTATAGAAATAGCCAATCTTCTCACTGATGGTCCAGTGTGCTTATAGACATCGCTAATAAATTGAGATTGTTTCATAACCATCTAAAAACTCTTTGTAGTAGGTTTTAAAGTAGCAATTTATACTAAATACAAAAGGACTGAGTCAATGATCAGGGAAGTAGAGGAACTTCCCTTCTGTCTTCTAACTGTTCTAAGATTGTACAATTACTACAATGCTTATTTCCTTAAAAGAAATGTTTTCACAAATGCTTCAAGTACTTATTCTTACCTGGGACCTAAACATGGCTGAATGTTAAACCCTCAACACCGCGTCTACGGCAGATTACTCAGTGACTACTGAGTGTTTGTGCCCTGAAAGAGAGCTAGGCAGAAAGTGAGACAGAAGCATCACCTCTCACACTCCCTCCCCACCTCCTTGTGTGATGTGTTTGACATTTCCCAGTAATGATGGGAATTTTCTCCCCTCTCCTAGCAGGAGTCACCCTTCCTCCCCTCTCAAGCGACCTGTCCCTCCATGCTGAGACCCACACAATCGCTCTGTGCCGGGGCCTGTGAAATCCCAGGACGCCGGGGCCCTATGAAATCCAATAGAATGGCTTTTATCCCCTGAAGATGCAGTACAAATCATCATTGGTTTTATCTCAGCTGGGGATGTCGATTTATCTAAATGAGCTTAGTCCCTCTAGCTGCCTGTCAGAGTTATTTCTCAAACACTAGCCCCACCCTGACACCCTCCCTTCTTCTCATCTTTTTCCTCTCTCCTCCCATCTCTCAGTTCTCCTCTTCCTCCTCCCGCCCTGATTTGGTGAGGTTTAGATCCTTTCGATGTCTCCGTCCTTTGTTCTCTTGAGAGGGAGGGGGCAACAGAGGACGGGGCAAGTAATGGGATTGGTACCCTGTACTGGGCACCAGTTTTGTTCGAAGCCTGCCTTACTGGCCCAAAGACAAGTGTGTGCATGTGTGTGCGTGTGTGTGTGTGTGTGTGTGTGTGTGCAGTCCCTTTAGTGTGCAGTGGAATGTACTTAATCTGCCTGCCATCATAATGCAAATGAAGCTCCCTGGTCCCAGCGGGGAGATACTCTGTGTGTGTGTGTCTGTGTGTGTGTCTGTGTGTGTGTGTGTCGTCAGGTCCGGAGCGAAACACAATGGAGAAGGTTTGTTTTCAGGCGTCGGAGCTGATCAGCTGCGAGTGGTGCAGCGTTCGGAAACTTCCGGTCTTGTTCTTCCAGACGACCCCAGAGGAGTGCGTCCGCCTGCGCACACAGCTCAACATGTCGAAGGAGACGGGAGGACAGTGGTACGACTGCGCCGGGGACCGTAAGTACAGAACCGCACACGTTCGTCCCGCTGTGATATACTGGGAGTCCACGGGGTCTACGTCATTTATAAACTCTGAATTCAGGATGACAAACATCAACTTTAAAATGCTTGTTGTCTGAATGGAGTTTGGTTGATGGGCGCTATGCTAACGTAGCTCAGGAATCAGTAACAGACACATATTGTCCAACTTCCTCTTTTACTTTCCTCCGAGGGACGGAAACGTCTTTGTACTTTTATTTACCAATATGAGCCTAAAATATGTCTTAAATTTAATTCATAAAGGTCTTAAAAAATCTTTATTATTTCTTATCTTATCTGATGAATGTAGTTTTATTAATATAACTATATATGCAGTTATAGTTGTACTGGATGAATGTGTCTATGTGCTGATGTTGTCTGTAGAGTGTATAATAGTTAATGTGATGGATAGTAAATCAGGAAATGAACTGATAGCAGAATCTGGCATCATCATCTCTTTTCATTCTGAGGTTCATGTTTCTGTTTAATAAATAATTCAGTTTACATTCAGACTGGTTCAAAATGATTCTGCTGCATCTCAGTGTTTTATTTTAATCAGTTTTCCTCCTGTAGAACTACATTGTTAGTAATATTAATCATAAATGATTATGATTTATATGAATATTGTCCCATCCTGTGAGAGAAATGAGGCCAATCCGTCTTCTTTTAGGACAGCTCAGAGTAAAATGTAATGTGACGTCAGATTATTGACCCTGCAATAGAGAGACATAGATTCCTTATGTAAGAACAGGAGTTACAGCTGTAACATAATGAAATCATCCAGCTGAAACCAATGAAACACTCGTTCTCCCGCCAGAGTCGGATGAGAAGTACATCGTTTTGATCTTCGAGAACGGCCTGGCGATGAAGGAGCAGATGATCCTGGAGGACATTCTGGGCGAGATCGGCCGGAACAACAACCTCAGCAACTTCCCCGCCAAGCTGCCCTTCGAGGAGGCCAACATCCGATTGGTCAACTACAACAAGGCCTCCAAACAGAAGGAGGAGAAGGTGAGCGTGGAAAACCGTCTTCTTCACCCGGTTCAAATCTCGAGTTAAAAAGCACCAAGATGTAAACAGTGGATGGTAAA